AAACCTTACCTTGCTGAGACAACCATCGCAGAGGGTGAAGAAGTTCCCCTCAGTGATCCTGCTCTAGCCTAACAAGCTAACCAAGTCAAGCTAACGACTTAAACCAAGCGCTTGGTGGGAGGCAACCCACTGGTACGTGTATATACTTTCTTTTCTTTTCTTCAGTTTTTGGTTTTCTTTAAAGTTTTTTGCAGATTAAAATCAGAAAAGCCCGAGCTACTTCCAGACGCACAGTTGTTCCACTCGCGGAGCAGCTGTTCTGTTCAGGTAAGTCTCGCGGGACCCAAAAAAAAAAAAAAAAAAAAATTTAAATAAGGAAATGGAGGAGTGGGAGCGAAAAAACCCTAATCTTTAGGGAGTGGCCCACGATGTCGGTTCTATTTAAGAACCACTCTCTCCTCTCCTCCTTCCTCTCCATTTCCGCCTCCTACAACCGAGAACCCTAGAAATCTCCTTCTCCTCAATTCTCAATTCTTGTTTAAAATTTCCGGATTCTTGCTTGTGGAATTACCTCTCTCTTGAAGTTTTTGCAGGTTTCTCTCCTTGAAAGGTAAAAGGCGACATCACTTCGTGATTCTCGGCCCCCAATCACTTCTCATCTTCTTCCTTGCTTTGATAGATCGATTTTTAGAAACTTGTTCATCTAGAAAAAAATCGACCACTCCTCTTGCTGTAGGATCGTTTAGAATTATGAGTAGTGATCGGATGCAACCGTTTGGAACTATCGGATAGTTAGGTTTTGAGGAATACCCGATTTAATTGTTCGCTTTCGATTTCATCATCTCGGTTATTTCCTCTGTTTTGTTTCTTGTGGGATACTAGGGGAAGTTCGGTAGAGGAACACGCTACAATACGACATTCCTACTTCCTCCTATTTATCCCATTTGGATTGTGCTAACTTTTTCGTTCAACTGTTCCTGCAGATGCCTCCACGACGAGCTAAGGCGAGCGCAAGGCCACCACCTCGGACACTCCGTGACGACCCGGATGACGACATGATTTCCCCCACCTACCCGTGGCCACGCATTGAGAACACTGAGATCCCTCTCTCTGATCCTCATATTCCAAAATCTTCTGAAGACCGGTGGGATCTTGGCGCTTCTCGCCGGTATAATGACCTTCTCCGCATCCCCATCCTTCCAACGCATTTTGTCAACGCCATGGACTTGCAAGCGCTTGATCTCCAAGAATATTTGCACGTGGCCTTACATGCCTTGGGAACAGCCGATCTCTGCTTTATCTCTCACCACCTCTACCCTGATCTGGTGCGACAAGTGCTCGCCACCGCAACACTCACCTTCTCTACGCCTGACTATCCCTGTTTCGAAGAAGCCTACTTCACCTTCTTCGTCGAAGGCGTTAAGCGGTCAGTCTCTTTGGCCACAATTGGAGAGCTTTTTGACATGTCCGAGGAGTACACGGGCATTTCTTTCCCCAAGAAGTTCCCACCGGAGCAGGCGTTCTGGAAGTTCATTGCGATGGGAGAATTCAAGTCGCGAACAGCTAATCAATCCCACATCCGTAATCCCGTCCTGCGCATCACTGCCAAGGTCCTGAGCAACTTGCTTTTCACCAAGGACCAGACTTCTAAGGTGCATCGAGGGGAACTACAGATGCTGTTTTCCGGTGTTGCTGATGAGCTTCGCGATGTTAACGTGGGTATTCCGACTGCCACAATGACGACCAGCCCGAGTTACGTGCTTGTTCAGATGTTCGAGGACAAGAAGGCAAGGGTGCAAAAGGGGACCCTTAAAAAGGATCGTTCTGGCAGTTTGCTCACTCCAATCTTTCATCACCTGGGGATCGACCTAACCAAGTACACATGCAATGAGACCCCAGCCTTCATCGACACCTCCTACCTCGTCAACTGCCAGATCATGCGTGATGAGACCACCTATAGCTTCTTGGGTCGAAACGGGAGCATCCTCTACTGCAAGCTCCCCAACCAGGACATCACTTCACTTAGCGATGTGCAGAACATCTGTTTCGACCCCGATCTCGAACACTTGTGCCCTGACCCGAGAACGCCTATTCCGCAGACGCCTAAGGAGGACGTGGAGTTCGTTGGTTCTACTGGAGACGGTGCCACCTCTGATGACCTGGGTCCACTTGCAGACGATGCAGATGATGTTGCTTACCGCAGGTGGATGGTCGACTCACAGCGCAAGAACAACAGCCTTCTGAAGCGTGTTCTCAGACTTCTGACCCGCGGTTGTATGGGAGCACCTACAACATCTGGGCCTCAGCATGAAGCAACTGCAGCGAGACTCATCGCCCCGGTAAAGAACCCGCAGGCACAACGGTTGGAGGAAATGAGACCCCGTTTGCTACACCTCGTCATCGGAACAGGCGCTACCCAGGCCAATCCGACAGCGATGACACTGACTAGGCAGTCTCCTAGCTCTATCACCATTGTCTTATCCATCTGAACTCTTTTTATTTTTATTTTTATTTTGGCCTTCTTTCGATTTAGTTTCTCCCCAGGGATGGTGAGAAGTAAGTCTGGGGGAGGCAAGTATCTGCTACTAATCGTTTGCTTTGTTTCTTATTTTTGCTTTGAGTCATTTTGATGTTTTAAATCGAGTCAGTCCAAACTTTGTGGGAATTAGGACCTTATTTTGTGATGTTATTAACCACCCTCGTGCTTTAATTCATCTTATTCAGTGACCTTAGCAGAAGGCAACAGACACACATGCAGATCCAGAACACCCTGACTTTAC